GCCTCTTCTGGGGGTGGGGGGGGCATGTAGAAACTTCCTCTCCCAGTTGGGGTGGGGGGTGGGGGGTGGGAAGGAGGGTGTCACCTGTGTCCAGAAAGCAGCCTTGGGAACACAGAATGGCTCCAGCGTGAGCCCCCCGGGACCCTCCGCTCCACTCATGTTCGCCCACAAACCTACTCCCTGGCCTGGGTGGTCCCGTAGAAATAGAAGCCATGGGCGTCATGTAATGTTGTTGTTGGGTTTTTTTCTTTAATTTTGTTTCGGGTGTTTTTAACTCTCTCTGGAGAATGGGGCAGAGGGTGCCAAGGGAAATTGGTTCTCCATTCAAAACCCACCCACGCACGTGCTTTCCCGGAATGGGCCGGAGGCAGGTCATGTGGCCCTCCTAGTAGATGCATTTGAATTAAAAATAGTAAGAAAAAGAAACAGGTGAGGATCCTTTTTATTTGTTTGTTTACATTATTTCACCAACGAGATCTGAAAAATGAGCGTTTTAATCCAGGGCACTCTGCAGTCAGACCATCCAGGCTCCCGGGCCCCGGTGTGGCTGGCGGCCACTGGTGTGGAGAGCAGGCCTAGGATTCAAGGTCCCCACTGGGTGTCCTCGTCTCTGTCCACGTCAGAGTGGTCCCCACTCCTGCCAGCATTTCACCAACTGTTGCTGAGCTCACAGTGCCCCTAGGCCCAGGGGCCAGCCCATCCCCCACAGTGCTCTGACTCAGCTTTCTCCACCTGGAACTCAGCATTCAGCCCCCTGACTCTGCCCAGAGCACTCTCTTCTCCAGACTCCCCTTCCTCTCTCCACGAGGGACAGACACTACCAGTTCCCCACCCCTCACGGCCCTCTCTCACGCACACACAATCCCACGCCCAGCCCTGTCTGCTCACTCCTTGGTGATACCTCTGAGATGTGCCCCTGGGCCGCACACACTCTGGCTTTCTGAGAGCTCCACACTTCTGCATGCCCGAGCCAGGTGTGCCCTCTGCCTGGCCTCCAATCCACTGTTTTCTTAAGAATGTGCCTCTGGCGGCCAAGACTTTTATTTCCTGGCCCCTGAGTGCCTCCACATATGGGCCACGTCAGCTCCACCACAGTTCAGCTCCAGGCTGCTCATTCCAGCCCAGTACAACGTGGCCAACTCTCTCCACTGGGACCATTCCTGAAACTGGCCTGTGCCGCTTCCCTGCTCCCCCAGCCCTCCACCAGCCAGTGACTTCTAGAAGCCTCCTGCGTCTCCCCCGGCTCACCCTCTGGCCAGAAATGGCCTCTGTGGCCCGGACTCCTCCAGCCTTGGCTGTATCCCGTCTGGTATATGTTGCTGCTTGGTTCCCTCCTTGTGCTGAATCACTTCTGGACACACACATGCACACACCCCAAGGACCTAGGTGTAGATTAAAGTGAGGAGATCTCATTTCCAGGCTCTGCGAACATAATTCCCGCCCTTGAATCATGTCCGGCCTCTGTCTCTGGCCTTGGTTTGCCAGCATGTAAAATGGGTGCAAGCTGTGCTGCCAGGCAGGCTTCCAGGATTCAGGAGAGAGACAGACAGAGAGAGAGAGAGAGAGACAGAGTCTGCAGTGGGTTGATGGATGGCGGTCCTGGCTGCTGGGGGACAGGAAGGCAACAACTGTGGGAACTGGTGGAGGGTCTTGGAGGAGAGAGGCCCAGACAGCAGGGACACCTCACCATCACCAGGGAACATCTGGGGAGCTTCATCTTGCCACCCCCACCCCAGCTCTCTAACGGGCCCCTTGCCCTCCCCCTGGGGCTGGCTGCCTGGTGGGCCCGGAGTTTTGCCTGGATCATAGGTATTTACAGAGGATGGGCTGAACATCTCTACTAATGCCTCAGGCCTGGACCAGGTGGGAATGCCTCCACACCTGCCTCCGCAGGTGGGTCTAGCACACCACAACCACCCCACCACCCGCTGCCCTTCCAGTCGGCACCTGTGAGACAGAACAGAACTCCAGGGGGTTTCCCAAACTATACACCTTGCTCCTTTAGAGGGGCTGCTGGCCACAGCCCAAGGCTTAATCCTCTGCACCATTGCAGCTCCCTGGTCTCAGGATCAATCTTCTCCAAATGATGTCTGCTGGAATTTGTCTGAATGCTCGCTGGCTGAGAGAAGCTAGGACAACCTGCTTGGGTCTCCAGGGCGTCAGGAGAAGCAAGAGAGAAGAGTTAGGTTGGGAGGCACTGAAGGAGGAGAACGGAGCTGGCCAGTGGGAAGAGGCAAAGGGAAGACCCCCACACATGCAGGCTGCCCCTGCTCAGCCTAGACCCTCCATGTCCTCCTAGTTCCCCCTTCCCCCTGGACCACAAGTCTGACCCATGGACAGGCTGGGACAAGGAAGGGGGTCTAAGTCCACTGAGTCAGTACCGAGAAGGACCACACTCACACCTCGGGGGAATGTCTTGGGCTTCCTCCACCATGGCCTGTCCCAGACCCCAGAGAGTATTCCTGGGACTGGAGGGCATCCACAGTGGGGTATCCACAGCCAGGGGCAAGGCTATCCACCATAACAGATCAACCAGGAAGCAGAGAGGACTCCAGCAATCGCAGTCTGAAACCAACAACACCCATCTGCTAGCAGAAGGATCGGTGGGAGGGTGGGCATGGCCTCCAGCCCCTCCTGCAGACACACCTGCTGAGGGACTGCTGGAAGCCACTCCACAAAGACCTCCTTCCTCCCCTGGCAGTGACCTGGAGAAGGAGGGTCTGGTCAACACTTGCCAGGACCCAGCAGTTCTGATCCCCAGCCTTAATCTCTGCTGTCTCCACTCCCTGACCCTATGCACCTTCCTTTCTTCTGGGCTTCCTCAAGCATGGTTTACAACACAGTGAGGTGGGGGAGGCTCTCCAAAGGACAGCATCCATTGGATGCAGAATCTCGGGCATCCAAAGAAGAGAGCGCACCCTCTCACTGGGAGCAAGTGCTAGGAGGCTGAAGGTGGGCAGCAGCACCCTGCTCATGGATAAAGCACTTCCTTCACATCTACCTAGAGCAGCCCTGGAGGAGGGTCCACCGTGACTCAGAGCCCCAGTGGAGAGGATTCTGGGGTCTTTGCTGAGGCCCCTGGGGCAGGGCTAAGCAGTGCAGACAAGGAGTCCTGCAGACAGGCCCTGCCAGGCCTCTGGCAGACAGAGAGTGGCAGGAGGGAGCAGGGCCCTTCTCAAAAGGAAGGTTGAAGAGAGAGAGAGCGCTTCTCGGCCTGAAAGGTAAGAGCTCACCCTCAACCAAGGCATACTCTTGTGAGGCTTCTGGGCTGGTCTCCCCACCACCACCACCATCCCACTCTTGCTTCTCAAAGCCGAAAGAATTCATGCGGCAGAAGCACTTTGGTCATCCAACTAGCTTTTAGGAGGGTAAGGGAAGTGTCAGGTAATACAGTCTCAGACAGTACACACTATCCCTGGAAAGCATGCTAGGCTGCATAGGGGACCGTGCAAGAGTACCAGACTGAAAATGGCTGCTTCCGGGGAGCACGGAGAAACCACGTGGAAAATGAGCCAAGAGAGGAGTACCAGAGTGTGGTAGTGATGTAATCTGGCGTCAACTTGAGGCTATGAAGAGTGAAGGGGTGGAGTCTAGCCTGTCAATCAGGTCTCAGCTTGATGACCTCATTTGGAGGCACCACAGAGATAAATAGCTCACTGGAGGCCAGATACACACAGACTCTCTGCTTCATCTTCCTGCTGACAAGCCACACGGAGCTACATTGATGGAGCCAGAGCCCTGGAGCTGGAGGAGCCACGTGGAGACCCACGCCAGCACTGAGATGCTTCCACCGCCACTGGATCTACAAGACTTTCCACCCACTGGCCTGTGATCTTCCAGCATTCGGCATCATTGCATGTGTTGCGTGAGTCTGAAGAGAACTTCATAGACTGGTATCGGACATATGGACTAATACCGGACTTACGTACTTGATCTGGACTGGGCTGGGATGTTTTCTCAATATACAATTGATCTTTGATATAAAGCTCACTCGTATACACATAAGCATGTCTATGAATTTGTTTCTCTAGTCTACCCAGACTGACACACTGCTTCAGCAGAATGACAGCCTGGGAAACCATACGAGGCAGTTCTTCTCTGTTCTGTAGGATCGACGAGAGTTAGACTGGACTTAAAGGCAATGAGCTGCTCCTGGCTTTGGAGCAATCCCCAAGGTTACTCGGACAGCCTTGTCCATCAGCTGCCCCAGGCTGAGCTAGGTTCCAGGAAGGCGGAAACCTGGTGGGCAGAATGCTTCAAGCTCTTCTTCTGCAGCAGGGGCACAAGAAAAAGACCCCTCCTCCACCCTGCATTTCATAAGCATATACTGAAAACTGCACGCCAAACCCAGTGCCTGCACTCAGATACATCTCTGAGCCGGGAGAGCACCTGGACCAGCAGCGGTGAAAGAAAAGAAGCCCATCAACACAACAATAAGCAAATCATGTAGATTCTTAGGAGCCGCACTCAACAGGGTGGGGAAGGTGAGGTCCCAACTGAGGTGAGGTCCCAGCAAAGGCCTGAAGGAGTAGACACCTACAGGAAGAACATTCTAGCAAGGGTTAGAGTCCAGCCCCGGGAACATGCGCCTGGAATGTCTGAGAAAGGGTGGGCAGCCAGCGTGCCTGGAACAGCGTGCTCTGAGGGCAGGTGAGGAGATACAAGTGAGAGAGAGAGTGCAGAGGCGGGGCAGGTCACCCAGGCCATCCATCAGAGGGCCACCAGGAGGAGCTGGGTGGGACACTGCGAGCGACGTGCTCTGCTCCCGCTACGGAGAAGGTGAGATCGAGTCTATGATGATCAGCTCGTGGAAGAGCAAGCCTCCAGTCCAGAGGTCTGTTGGGCAGTTCACGGGAGAAGGCAGGGTTCTGAAGTAAGTCAAGAAAGTGGAGCAGACACCGACCCTACCCCACCCTGCTGACGGTGGAGGACTGAGAACCCGCCACCCGATTCGGCCTGGTGGCCTCTGAGGATGCTGGTGGGAGCACTTTGGATGATGGGCCGAGGTAAAAGTCTACCTGGGCTGGTTTCCATCAAGCAGCAGCTCTCTGCAGACTATGGAGTGGTTGTTCTTGCTTCCTCTCTTCCCGCATCCCCCTTTTGCGGGGAGCCCTCCGCCTGCCTGTTCCCCAGCTCATTCATGCCAGTCATCTCTTCTTGGGCAGTCAGCCCACTGCTCTCCGTACAGCTGGACTGGGCCGCACCAGGCACCAGGCACCCTCCAAGGAGCGCGGCCAGCAACATCTTCAGGTACTGGCGGAAGCGGTGGCTGGAGAAGGCATAGAGGACAGGGGTGACGCAGCAGTGCAGGAAGGCAATGCTCTCGGTCACCTGCAGGGCATAGTCCAGGTGGTGGCTGACCTCACAGTCTCCAAACACGTTCAGGTCCAGCAGCGAGTGCAGGAACAAGGTGAGGTTGTACGGGAACCACAGCACAAAGAAGGCCACCACGAGAGCCCCGGCCATCCGCAGAGCCCGGCCCCGGCCCAGGGGCCTCAGCCGGACCAGGACACAGCCGATGCGGGAGTAGAAGAAGATCATGGCCAAGAGGGGAAGGAGGAAGCCCAGGAGGATCTGCTGGAAGCGGAGATAGAGCTTCCAGAGGGTCCCGTGCCCGCCAAAGTCTGGGTAGCAGTTCCACACACCCTTGGGGTTTTCGTGGGTCTTCACAAAGACCATGTCGGGGATGGAGATGGCCAGGGCCACGGTCCACACCACAGCAGAAAGGATGAGGCTCTTGGCCCGGGTCCTCAGCCTGTGGTGGGGCTGAGCGTGGACAATCTCCAGGTACTTGTCCAGGCTCATGCAGCTGATGAAGAAGATGCCACTGAAGAAGCTGGTGGTGTAGAGGATGCTGATCACCTTGCACAAGAAATTGCCGAAGACCCAGTGCCAGGCCACAGAGATGCCCCAGAAGGGGAGGGTCAACACAAACAGGAGGTTGGAGACGGCCATGTTCGTGAGGTAGACCTCCACCATCTGCCTGCGAGGCACATACCGGAGCAAGACCACAAGAAGAAGGAGGTTCCCACCCAGGCCCAGCACAAAGATCAGGCTGTAGAAGATGGGCAGGAAGATTTGGCCAAAGGACAACACCGCATCCTTCCGGCAGATCAGGAAGGTCAGCTCGTCCAGGTAGTCGTAGTCATAGAGGAAGCTGCTGTTCTCAGGATAGGCGTCCTCGGTAGTGAGCCACACAGGGGAGGCGGTGACCACAACCATGTCCAGAGAGGATGTCCGGTCCTGGAGCTGTGTGGGGCACAGGGGGTGGAGGGTGGGGGTTATGAAAGAAAGGATGTGCTAAAACCAGACACTCCCTAGCTCTCTCCAAACCTCCCTTTGCTACACCCCCCTCCTTAAAAAAAAATAAAGAGCACATGTATTAAGTCTTAAACAGGACACAGATAAGACAGCTAGAGAGGCCTATCATCTGGATGGGGGAGACCATTAGCCGTCACGGTGTCCAAGAGCTTGTTGGGAGGCAGTGGACATGGGAGGAGGTCAAAGAAGATGGTCACGTGGATGTGGTTGGCATCGGGTCAGTACAACCGAGTTACAGATGGGGTCCTGGAGCAGGAGGGGTGTGATGGGGACACTGCATTGTGTAAGGCAGAGGAATTCACAGCATGGGCGAGGGGCTTCCCCGAGACCCCATCTCTTGGTAGGTCACTTTCTTGTGTGGCTTATAATTGCTTTTAAAATGAGAATTTATCTTTAGTGGGGCTTGCTTTATCGGTGAATGTCCGACCTTGTCTTTATTTCTAAGACCTGAGACTGTCTCTCAGGGTTGCGTTCAGTTAGCTATTACAATGAAGGGGGGGGGGGGGCTCAAAAAAACTAAAAACATTCACGATGACCCAATAGGACCGTGTTTGAAGCAGGAGAGTGTGATCTATCAGGTGGATAGGCTTAAAATCTTCTAAGCCTTTGCATGCTTCAGTTTCCTCCTTTTTAAAAGGAAGATGCTAACCCTGCCTGTCTTGTGGCGGTGTTTGGACGCTTAAACGCGGTCATTCAGGTAGAGCACTTTAAACTCGAACTGAGACTGCCTAGCATATAACTAAAGCGAATGAAACCTGCTACCGTTGAATTGATTCCAACTCCCAGTGTGGGAAGCAGAGAACGGGAAGAGAGTGTATGCGGATGAATCCTTTAGTCTCATCGATTAAGGAGCCTGGTAGGCTGGGTTTCTGGGGTGGAGGGAGGCCTTCACCCTTGTGAGTTGGAGGTGAGTCCCAACCCCATTCTCATAATTAATATTGTTCCCCACTATATCCTCCCATAATAGTGCTACCTTAAAGTTACCTCTTACAAGCGCATGGCTGATTGCTAGTAGCCAGCAGCTTGAACTAGAGGCAGACAGGTGCTATTGCTCTCTAGATACTGAAGACAACTACCCCCCTTACCTGCCCTGGGCACTGGTGTTAGGTTACTCCTCCAATGTACTCAGGGACCCTTAGGGTTAGGATACAGCCCATTTTGTTATGTATGTGCTTACCTATAATTAAGGGGGCTTGAGTGTATATAAGCCTTGGGTGAAAATACATTCTCTCTCTCTCTCTGCAAATCTGGCTGCTGAAGTCATGATGGTCCCAGAGGTGTGCCCTTGCATGCCCTAGCCTGTCTGATGTCTCTAATTTTACCCTTCAATGGCACAACCACCTCTTGGACCCATTCGATTGTGGGCTGGTACCCCACATCCTATTGATGTGTAGGACAGTGTAGAAGACCTCTGCTGGGTTTCCAAGGCCATTGTCCCACATCGCTTTCCCACCGCATGGCAATCTTTGGATCAGCAGCCAAGACTTGTCAAAGTCCCTCTAGCACACAGCAGGCCCTCCGTCCATGTGAGCTTAGATGATTGCTTTGCCCCAACCCGAGTCCTTCCTCTGCCCACCAGCCTCTTCTCTCCCGAGTGTGTGTATGGGAGGACACCATCCACAACTCAGAAACATCCCAGACTGCCACCTCGTCGCCATCCTGCCAGTCTCTACTCCCTAATGCCTCTAGAATCTGTCTCCAGGTCCCATAAACACACACAATGCCATACTTTTTAAAGAAAGCTAAGACGAATGAAATAAAAATGCACCCTTTGAACACATAGTTAGAACTAGGACAGATCAAGGAAAGGAGAGAGAAAGAATAAGAAGTGTAGGATTCAAGATGGCAGAAGTTCGAGGAACGAGAAGCAGGGAGGTCCATAGCTCTGACGGTGGCTTCTCTGCTCTGGTTTCTTCTGAGGAGCCCTGGCAGTGTAGTGGTTATGCATTGGGCTGTGATCCTCATGGTTGGTGGTTCAAAACCAGAAAGACTGGGCTTTTTACTCCCATCAACAGTTACTGTCTCAGACACCCACAGGCGGGTAGCTATGGGTCAGCATTGATCTGTTGGCAGTGAGTGGGTATGTTAGACAGGGTTCTCTAGAGAAACAAAGCCAGGACACATATGATTATATATCTATTTATATAGATAGATATATACAACATAAGAAATAAACAGCTAATTAGTCTATAGAGCAGTACAAATGGCTCAGTGCAACTCACTTCTGTGAGACAGCTAATACACTGGCAGTCCTTCAAGGCTTGAGGGCCGCCAGGTGCAAGTCAAGGAAGCAGATAGCTGAGTCCTCTGTAGAGCAATTCAGGCAACCCGGCCACAGGCAGCAAACAGCAAGGCAGGTCACCAACAGTCAGCCAGATGACAGAGTCTGACAGTCCCCCAGCTCAAGAGATGTAAATTCCAATGGTGTGGTGAAGCAGGTCTTGAAGGAACCTCAAATTACAGTGACACAGTGAACCTCAAATTACAGTGACACAGTCCACAGGTTAGGTGTCCCACAGGCAATGTAGCTTGCAAATTGGGGCAGAGAACAAGCTAAGGCAGTCACACACTGGTCCAATCATCAAAGAGCAAGAGACAAGAAAGGTGAGCCTCACTGAGCTATTTATCTCTCCGCCCTTCAATTAATCCCACATGTGTTCATTGGCCAGGTTGGCACAATAAACCTACTTCTCACAGTGGGTTTCATTGGAAGTGATAATTCCTCGGGTGTTTGCTGTGCTATGCAGAGAAATTAGCTCTGGGGGGGAAAAGAGAACTTCACGTGAACTAGTGGTGTGAATCTGCCACCCATCAAGGATCATTCTCAATCTGATCAGAGAGTCCAGAGGACAGAGAGAGAGAGCTCAGGCTCAACACGTGACCGTGTTTACCTGCAGGAAGTAGGGGTTGGGGAGAAGAGAGAAAGGAGATAAAAATGAATAAGCAGCCCAAGCAGGCAATCAATCATACACATAGAGGAGGGGGGCTTTCGTCAGTGATAGCAATGGATACAACGGGAGAAATGCCACTAACCCTCCTCTGCTCCTGCATTTTCTTTTTGATTCTTTGATTGATTCATTCATTGACCATTGACCTCCTGGCCGCTGCCCATTGATCTCCCTCCTGTGGAGACGTTCTTGTGTGAGTGAGGTGGGCCTCTCCATTTCAAGACATCTCTTTAATAGAAAAATACATAATTACTTTTTCTGTATATATTAGAGAGGTTTCCTACCATCCCTTCCTCACACACATTTGGTCCATTCCAGGAAGGAATTTGAAGGAGAGGTGGACTGGGGCCTTCAGTTGATCCCTCTAGAACCCGTGATGCTGTGACCACCGAGTTGATGGAACTATCAGTGTCTGACCAAGTGGGGCCACTCCTGTAGACCCCTGAAGTCCACTCACTCCCGAGCTCTATCTCAGCCTGGGGCTCTTGCCAAATGGTGACCATTGAGGAAGAAGCTTATGTCACCCTGCCTCCACCCCAGAAGCAGCCCAAGAGGCCTTGACTAGGGCCCAACTTTGTCCTGACCGTCCTTGGGAACTTAGCCCTTGCCATTTGCTTTTCTAGGACTTCTCCCCACTTCTGTGCACCTGGGGGGTCTTCTCCCCTCTGTGGAGAGAAGTATGAGCATCCACCATGCGTGGCTGATATTGGGAGCCTGTGGGTTGCTGGGAATAAGGCAGGGAGTGGGGGTGGGGGTGGGGGGGAAGGACTCTTTTGCACTTTGGGCGTGATTTGAGTCCTTTCGGTCAGGAGTTGCAAATAATTAAACATTTTAAGTTGTCAGCCCTGACCTTGATCAACGTTTGCTTTGGCAAACAGTGGAAAACGACCTTCGATCGAGGCCAGACGACAGAGCCAGAAGGTGTGGGGTTAGACCAGGCTATCTAGAAATGGCTCCCTCCTCCTAGGAAACCCTGCTCCCTTCCCTCCTGGGGTCCCCTGATCTTTCACCAGAGGAGTCTTCTCATGTCCTTCTGGCTTCTGAGGCCACCAGCCTCTCCCACCGCCTCCATCACTCTCAGCAGCATCAAGGAGGACCACAGCAGCGGCCAGTGTCCTTGTGTGCACACTACGATGGACTACGCACTTTCCTCTCCACGGCGGTTCTCCTCCCTACAAGACCAGCCAGAGAGGGATCCTCTGCTCCACTTCACCCAGGAGGAAAGCACCGTCTTCACACTCAGACAGTCACCAGCCAAGGTGCACCTGAAACACAGGTCTTTGGATTGAAGACCCCACTACCTTGAGCCTGACCCCAACTTATCCTCCACCTGTGTTCTTCCCCACCCAGGGGATAACAAGGGGCCACCTGAGAAGGGTACAGAAGCTGTGGTGCACTCGGGAGATCTTCGTGGCCCAGGATCTTGGTCTCGTTGGCTGGCTGCTCTAAAGTCTAGTGTCCGTGCGGAGAGGCCCTGCCAAGTGCAGTCTCCCTCTTGACCTTTGAGAATAATATCTCTCAAAGACACCCATGCCTTAACCCCCAAACTGGTGACTATGTTGCTTTTTAGGGCAAAGGAGCTATTCCCAGTGGGATTTAGTTAAGAGTTTTGAGATGAAGAGATTATCCCGGGTTAGCCAGGTGCCTCCATCGCCTCACAGGGGCCCCAGAGGGAGGCAGGAGAGTCAGGGAAGGGACATCCCTTGCTCCCCAGCTGGGAGAGGCTCTCTGTGTGCCTTGGTTGATGGCCGAGACCTCTGCTGCCCCTTCTCGGACTCTCTTCAAGAGACCACATGAGCTTTGGAAATAAATAGAAACCACGCACACCATTGGAGATCACCTCTAGTAGGTAATAATTTTGCTTTTTCCCCCCCTTAGTATTTGGTCATGGCGACCTGAATCCTCCCCTCCCCAAAGCCTGCCTGTGTGACTGGTCTGGTGAAGCCCCTCTCCCAGCCCCATCGGCACTCTGAGACAGTGATTTCTCAGCCTCAGTGTCCACGTCCTGGATGAAGATCCATCCAAGGCTCTAGCCGGGAGATCCCGGCGGGCGCTTGCCTCCGACAAACTTCATGGAATCAATTAGCAGAGGCACCCTGCCTCCCTGCTTTTCTTTCCTTCTCCTTTTTCCTGTGTCTGGTTTTCCACTTGCCCTGCTGCTGCCCTACGCAGAGCTGAACCAAGACCCTCTGTGAGTTGTTTTTCTAGACCAGGCCAGCCCTGTCCCCGCAGCCCTGGCTCGGGGCTCTCACTGTTTCCACAGAGGCCTGGTACAAGAAGTTCTCCCGCTGGCACAGCTCCCTTGAACCAGGGCACAGGAGGCGGCCTTGCAGTCCCTCCACCTCCCTCCCAGAAGGATCCCTCCACGGCTTTTCCAAGGACTGGGTGGAGATCGGTCCAACCGCCTGGCCACTGCACAGGTCCGGCGCATGATGGGCCCCTCCTGCCCTCGGCCCATCCTTCTAGCATTCTCATCCCACAGCTCTGGCCCAGTTACGGCTGGAAAAGTTGAGGATGGAGTTGGAGAATGATTCAGGCTCCAACCACAGTGTCCGGCTTTGGGAGAGGTGCTGAGCAGTCAGGCGCATGTGAACAAACACATGCCTTTGGGGGAACCAGTGGTAGATATCCCACTGTGTGTCTGTAACCACAGCAGCAATACTGCCTGATGCTTCAATAGCGCTTACTATGGTCCAGGTTCAAGTCTGAGAACTTACACTGCAGTGATTCACTTCAGCTTTCCAAAGCTTGTCTGTCGGTCTTGCTCTGTGGTCACTTGTGTGGTGCTGTGGGGCTGGAAGCCGTTTTTCAAATACCAGCATGGTGCACCAATTTCAGCAGAGCTTCCAGACTTAAGAAGAGACGAGGAAGAAGGAAGAGGCTATCCACTTCCAAGGGATGAACCGCTGAAACACTTACAAGCATAGTGGAAAACTGTCTGATTTGGCACCAGAAGAGGAGCCCCTCGGTTTGCAAAGCACACAAAATAGGACTGAGGAAGAGCCGCCTTCTCAAAGGAGAGTCGACTATCATGATGTGGATGGTGTTAAGTTTTCCACATCCGTTATTAATTAAACCATGGGTGTGTGAAGTAGGAACCTAGGAAAACTGGAAGTTGTTGAAAAGGAGCACATAAAGGCTGAGCTCCTCGGCACTCGTGAGCTGAGACAGATGGCTCTTAGCTGACATCAATCAAGCCTGAGGCTTACTACACAGGAAATGACAAATTCAAGAGGAGGACTGTTACATGCATCAATGAAAAGGACATTTCAAGATGTATTTTGAAGGGCAATGCTGTCTGTGATCGGCTATACGCCTACAAAGAAGACCAATTCCTATGGCTGTTGTTTAAATCTACATGCCAACCACTGAAGCCAATGATAAAGAAATGGACCACTCCTCTGAAATTCTTCCACCTAAATTCATCAAAGGTGCATTGGTAATTACAGGTGACTGGAGGACAAAGTTGGAAACAAAGAGGAAGGATGAATACTTAGAAAATACGGCCTTGGCAATAGAATTGATGCTGGAGATCAAACGATAGAATTTTGCAGGACCAACAGCTTCTTTTTGCAGACACCTCTTTTCAACAACATAAACGGTGACTCTGCAAATGGTCCTGACCAGATGGAATACAGAGGAATCATACCACATCAGTCAAAATAGAGCCAGGTGCTGACTGTGGAGCATCAACTGCTCATAAGCAAGCTCAGGTTGAAGCGGAAGGAAATTGAAACACAAGAGCCAAAACGTGACTTGGAGAATACCCATCTCAAGAACAGATTTGATGCACTGAACCCTAATGACCGAGGACCAGTTGAGCTGTGGGATGACAGCAAGGATATGATAAATGAAGACAGAGGTCATTTAAAGTCAGGAAAGAATGAAAAGACCAAAGCAGATCTTAGAAGAAACTCTAAAACTTGCTCTTGAATGCAGCATAGCTAAAGTGAATAGACGAAATGGTGATGTCAGAGAGTTGAAAATTTCCCGGAGGGCAACTTGAGAAGACCAAGCAAAGTATGATAACGAAATGCGCACAAACTCAGAGCTACGATCCGAAGAAGAAGAGCACACTCAGCCTATCTCAACCTGAAAGGATTTAAGGAAAACCACACATCTTGACTTGCGCTGTTGGAAGATCCTAAGGGCAAAATATTAAACAAGGCAGGAAGCGTCCATTAAAAAGAAGATGGGAGAAATACACAGAGTGATTGGACGACGTTCAACCAGTCCAGGAAGGAGTCTATGGAAGAAGAACTCCAAGGTGCACCGATAGAAAACGGTGCTCCACAAATTGAGGCGATATTTGTGGGAACGTTTCCACAGACTGGAAGTGCTCATTCATCGAAGCCAAGACACTTCGAAGATCACTACCAGGCCAACAACCGATGAAGAGAGCCGGACGTGGGATCCAAAGAAAAGTGACCCAATGCTTTATGAAAATAACTCAACAGTATCATCACCATCACACACAAGTAAAATTTTGCAGAACCTAATTAGAAAATGGTTCCAGTCATATGTCGATCGGGAACTGTAGGAAATCCAAATGAGATGCAGAAGAAGACATGGTGGGGGACTGTCGAGCTGACCTCAGATAGGTCTCGGCTGAAAGCAGGGGATATTAGAAGGATCTAGGATCGGAGTATCAGAAGGTTCCTGGTGTTTCGTTGACTTTGTACAGGAGTTTGACTGATGGGTCATAACAAACTACGGATAACATCGAGAAGAATGAGAATTCCAGCACACTTCATTGTGCTCATCCAGAACCTGCACATAGGCCAAGAGGCAGTTAGTTGTTCAAGCAGATATTGAACGATTTAAAATCAGAAAAGATGTGTGTCAGCTGTGTAGCCTTTCTCCATAGTTATTCAATCTGTGTGTTGAGGAAACAATCAGAGAAGATGGACTATATGGAGCACACAGCATCAGGACTGGAGGAAAATTCATGAAAAACTTGCCAAACATGGGAAGCAAGCCTCAGGAGAAGGCAGCGGGACCATAGTTCCGCAGGGACTTGGGGGGAGGAGGAGGCAGGGGAGGGTGGGGAGGAAGGAGCGGTGAGCAAACATGTAGACAGGAGACCAACTAGGGAATTAAATCAACAATGAGGAGGCTGTAGAGATCCCGGTGGTGTTGAAGCAACAACAGTCTAGCCACGAGGAGTTATTAAGAGGCAGCAAAAGGTGAAGCATGATTGTGGGGCAGGAGGAAGGTAGAAAGAAACAGAGGAAAGATCTAGGAAGCAAAGCTATGACTAGAGGTATAAACATAGGTGTGCACTTACATAAATACATTAATTCATGAAAATAGTTATTGACATAGGTACATATAATTACATGTCAATACATTGAGGACGTAGACAAACTTTGGACCTCTGCTCAAGCCCTCCTTTAATGCAAGAACATTTTGTTATAACAACCTGGCATTCTGTGAGGCTCACCCTCCAGACATGATTGCTGAAGATAAAAATGGGTGCATAAGCAAATGTGGTGAAGAAAGCTGATGGTGCCCAGCTATCAAAAGATATAACATCAAGGGTCTTAAAGACTTGAAGTTGAACAAGCAACCATCTAGCTGAGAAGCAAGAAAGCCCACATGGAAGAAGCACACCAGCCTGTGCGATCATGAGGTATCGAAGGGATCAGGTATCAGGCATCAGAAGACTCAAAACAAACAAACAAACAAAATTATTGTTGAGAATGAGAGTCGGAGCAGAGAGATCAAAAACCCATCTGTAGACAATGGGACATCTCACAGAAGGGTCACAGGAACGGATGAGTCAACCAGGGCACAGTATAGCACTGATAAAACAATATTCCCCTGGTTCCTTGAGGCTTCCTCACCCCCCACTATCATGACCCCAGTCCTGCCTCTCACTGTGGGCTAGGACACAGCATGTACACAGGTACAGATAAGAGCTCAGGACACACGGAATCCAGGTCAGATAAACCCCTCAGGAACAGAAATGGGAGTAGGGATACCAGGAGGGTAGGGGAAGCTGGAGAGAGGAGGGGAAAGAAACCATGGGGGAAGGGAGACAGCAGTCAGTGTAAGATATGAAAATAACAATCATTTATCATTTATCAAGGGGTCACAAGGGTGGGAGGGGAACAGGGAAAGAAAAAAGAGGAGCTGATACCAAAGGCTCAAATAGAAAGTAAATGTTTAGAAAATAATGATGGAGTACAAATATTCTTGATACAATTGATATATGGAATGTTATAAGAG